ACTCACATACATGCAGACAATACACTCATACAAATAAAATAAAAATGATAAATAAACTACTAAAAAAAGACAGATTCTGCTTTTTGTTCCCTACTTCATGCTGCCTGTGTGGTTTCTATAAAGAGAGAGCAAAGGTCCTTGATCAATGCTCCAGGATGAATCTGAAGGAGAAAGTTCTCAGAACAGTTCTGGTCCCACTGTTGGTTGAATCGGATGCTCAGAGCCAGGCTCTTTTGTTCAGGTGCTGCCACAGAAGGACAAATTATCCCCTTAATCAGAGAATGTGCTTATCCCTCCCAGAAGCCCCTCCCTTGGTGCAGACATTTGCAGCCCCAGCAGGCAGCACTGAGGAGCCTGTTTTCTGAGTCCTAATTCAGAAAGTATAACTTTTCCATTCCCCTTTCTCTATGTTTTTTCTATGGCTACTGGCCAAAGGTCTGCACATGTTTTCCCTGGCAATCTGGGCTTTCTTTTTCATTCTTTAAAGCTGTCCTCACCCTTTGCCATGTAGCTGCTTGCTGACCTCTGTTTTGCTGATCTGCCTGTTTCTTGGATCTTAAGGCTTGCTTTCTGTCTTCCTCTTCTCCCTCTCCCTTCTCATGGAGCCGCCAAGATTTGCAGTTTGCCTGCCTGCTGTTTTTCTCTCAAGTTCTAATACAATTATTTTTTAGACTACTTCTAAGTCCACTTCTAATTTCTTTTTATTAACAAAACGAAGAACCCAAATAGGAACCCCAATTTCTCTAGTAACAAAGTAAAATTTTTAAGCTTTATAGGCAGTATATGGGCATACAATCACAACCCCTCCCCACAAAAAACCCCAAACTGTCTATAAATGTAAACCATTCTTAGTTAAGCCTTTTGCAGACAGAAATCACTTTTAGTTTAAGGTCTACAAACAGATTTGGTCTTGGAGGGACAGGTTGCTAGGGTCTATTCCTTTGCATCTGGGATCAGGAGATGTCCCCACTAACCTGTCCTAGGTATTTCTCTTCCTTTATTAACTGGAAAATGAAATGCTTAATTATTAAACATTGCATTTACTTCCAGAAAATGCATCATAGGGAGATTCTATAAATGTGTAGTGCAGAGATGTTATCAAAGGCAGATTGCAATTGTGTTTCTTTCATATTCAGAAGCTTACCAAAATAAAAAGAAAAGCTTTAATTTTTAGCAAAGAAAAAAGATGCACAACCCATTTTGATAATTTCTGAAAGTTTATTATGGTACTAAAAAATTCAATTAAAATCCTGTTACCACCAAAACGCATTGTTTCTCATTTCATTTGATTTGTAATTTGAAAGTGTCTAATATACTTAAACCTTCTAAAATCATGATTATTTTCCCAATAAGAGAATGGTATAATTTTACTTAGTATAGTCAGATAGGTCATAGAGTTCTATAAAACATTGTACTCAAAGCACAAAAATAAGTTCTTTATGCACAATCTTTAATACTGTTTTTATATCTGTCTTCTGGTACATTAGATAACCATATAAATAAAAATAAAAAGGAAAGGAAGCAAGAGATTGTTAACATCTGGAAAGTAGATGTACAGTTTGATGACAGCTTTCTTTTCATTAAAAGATAAGTGATAACAACATTGGGTCCTACTGCAGCCGTAAAAATTGGTTCACTTTGTGTTTCTACCTTAAGAGTAGATATACAGAAAACAAGCTGATGATACATGCTGCAATGAATGGACTGGTGGCTTAATAGCAACATAGCTTGTAAAATTCTCAACATTGGTGAAATAAAGAGAAGGTAAAAATGTAAAAGGAAAATAACCTGTTGGTGCTATTTTCTGTTAAAAAGTGATAAAAGCTCTGTATAGGGCAATGTGAAGAATTTTGTTGAAGAACAGCTTAGTAGCAACCATAATAGTGAAGATAAATGCAAAGGAATTTGTATTTGGGGAATTTTATGAAACAGAAGTAGGGAGAGGGTAAAATGTAAACGTTCACATAGCAGTTGTGAACTAGCTTGGAGGATAAGTAGCTTAACTGAGGGAACAAAATAACCACAAGATTCTGACACTCTTGATGCTTTGTAGCTCTTGATAGGCTCAACAAAATATTCCCAGAGCCAACTTCGTCTTTTCCTCTGCCTAGTCTGTTCTGGAGGCCACTTATCTGTCCAATGAAGGTAGAACTCAGATCTATAGCCCAGGAAGAGTGAGAAGAAAATGAAGACCAGAAATAGACTAGTAACAGGGAAAGCTAGAGAGGGGGTGGCTTTGAGATGGCTGGGTAGGGAGGGTGGTGATTCAGTGTGCTATAATCATACCCAGGTCAGAGGGAAGCAGCAGAGCCAATCACTTATGCTCTACCTGCTTGGGAGCAGAGCAGGGTGTTGCAGTTCTATGACTGAAAAACACAAACCAAGCCAACACAATGGCAACAGACTGTTAACGAGGGGCGTGTGTTGCTGTATAATTTGTTGTCTAATTTGTGGGAGTATTTGAGATTAAGAGAGCCATTGTCCGTCTTTATGGTGGGACCACAGGACTGTTCTGCCTAACCAGGATATATTGTCACCATGGAAAGAAGTTGCTAAATTCTGGGTGGGGATAATATCCTTTTGACTTACTCTGTTAAGTGCTATCTTGGTATTTCTGCTTCCCTTAGATAAAGTATCATACAAGAGGGCAAAGTGTGTTCTGTCTCTTGACGTTTCCTCAAAATGGAGCAAAGTCTGTTGGGAGAGTTAGTATAGTGTTCTACATTTTATTCTAAACATGTTTGAAGGAATGAGGGCTTTTGGTTTGTAAATTTTTATTTCTCTCCCAGATTGGTTATGGATTTCTTTTCATTATTATCTAGAGTTTAAAGTCTTTAAAAAATATTTACAGCACATGACAACACAAGTTTGAAGTTTGTCATAAATGAATCTATGCATGGATGTATTCTGTTTTCTGTATAAACATTTTTTAAAAAAGCTAAGTTTTAAAGATATTGGCCAGGGTGGGACTAACCATATATTGTGGATTGATTTTTTGGGTAAAAATGTAACGTTTTACTTCATAAATAGATAGAACATGGGGCTTAGTAAACGACAGTTGACTTGCTGTATTTAATTCTAATACTGACACACACAGATGTAGGGCCTGTTGGATGCATATCACACTTTCTATGAATATGTTTCACCAAAATTCAGGAAATTTCCAAGACACTGCTAGAATGAAGGAAAGCTTTATCACAGGGTTGGAGAATTGGATAAAGTCAGTTGATGATGGTGTCATAGCAAGTAGGAACGTTTAAGCCTTGTTTCTCTTTGCTGTCCAATAATTACATTAAAATTCACGCTATGCTTTTAATACCTTCTATTAAAAATATTTAATGACAAAATTTCTTTTCACTTTGTATTTTAAACTTTGTTTTTTTCATAAAATATAAAAAGTGTCACGTCTCTATGCTAATCTTCAGATATGTTCTGCCGTACCCCCAAGAACTTTCATATGAATTCAGAGGATAACAATCATGACCTCGTGAATACTGGCCATATTGTGCACTTTTGTCTTGTACTTTCCTTTTAAGAAAAGGAAACTTGGGTAGTACTGGAATTGCTCAACAGTAACAAACTTTATCAAATTTTTGTAGCTTTGAGTATAAAGAAAATGTTCCCCATACATTAATTTTAGTTATTGGCCTTTATTCCACAAATGGCATCCTGGAGAATGTCTCTGCCTATGTGGATTAAAGTTGTGGTTTTGTTAAACAAGAAAGAATTATAAAATATTCCTGTAAAATCTAAAATATTCTGAAAATTAATGTAAATTGAAAATTATATTAAAATATTTTATTATTGTATGTGACTGGAAAAATAAAAAAATTAAGTAAAACAAAAGATAACTTGATGTATTTAACTTATAATCCTCTTGGTCAGATATCTTTTGAAGTCACTACTTTTTATACGAGGTAGTTTTCCAGCATCATTTAGGGTGCTGGTACCCAAACACAGTGTGGTTGGCCTGATAGTCACTTGAATGCTGGAAGCACTCTAAGTCTTATAGGGGAATTTTAGCTAGTTTCAATTGAAAGTATTCTTTGATGCACTGAGGTTCAAGGAGAGAACAGCAATCTGAGAAAGGACAACAGTTTGTAGGTAAGAAAAGGAAACCCAAACTCAATGTGGTTGCACTTCTTTGCAGAAATATCAGGCTGATTATAGTTATCAACAAAGTATTGTCAGGCTTTAGATATCTGATTCTAATTTTCTAGATACTTCTAAATTGTTGTTTGGGGTATTTTGTTATTATCATTTGGTTGCCCTGCCACTAAGTTTTTCTATGAAAAGCTTACTAGCATTCAAGTAAGAAACAGGGAAAATGGATAAGAATGCAGGTCACAAGGTATTAAATAAGTGATAATTTCTTTAATCTCAAAAATAAACATTATGCAAAACTGACATTTGACTTGATATTTGATCTTTTAAAGGCTCCTCTGTGAGGGAGGTGTAGTGATTTAAGCCTGTAATTCCTCTAGGGAGACAGGCAGGAGGAGAGTTTGAGACCAGGCTGAGCTACACAGGGTGTATCAGTTTTTAAAATGTTAAATAAGACAACACCCCCAACACACGCACTAAAACAACAACTCATTTTCTTCAGAGTTCAAACTCATTATACCAGAACTTGGTCTGGCATACTAGCAATACATCAACACTCTGTATGCATATATTCTATTGGAATTCAGAGTCTTCTCTAGATTTTACTAAATGAAGTAAAATCTCAGCAACCCCATCCCCCAAATACACATCTACTCAGTAGAATCCATTCAGGTAGATGCCATAAATACTTGTGTTTTCTCTCAAAAGTAATGATGTGCTGTCTCACTGGTAATTTTCTTGACACTTCCATATTTTTCAATTGTTTATATTTCTGTTGGTAATCATCATTATTATTATTATTATTACTATTATTATTATTTTGGTCTTTTTGAGACAGCATCTCCCTGTAGTCCCAACTGTCCTGGAACTTACTATGTAGACCAGGTTGGCCTCGAACTCACAGAGATCCACCTGCCTCTGCTTCTTGAGTGCTGGGATTAAAGGCATGCGCCACCATGCCTGGCTAATCTTCGTTTTTAAATGATGATGGTGCCATCCAGAATAATGATTTTTCTCATAAGACTTCTGTATTAAGCAATGATCTTTTCCTTTTGAATGAGCTTGAGGCTTCTCTGCAGCAGTCTCTGGGTTTTGTGCTGATTAAACGTGCAGGGTGCCCTTTGCTATTTATTTTCGAAGATTCTAAGACCATTCAGAGCTTTTGCTCTTAGCATTTGGAATACTTTTTTAAGCCAAGGAGAAATTTGTCTGTCCAAAGGACATTTACTATGTCAATATAATTATTCCCTCTGAAAATAAAAGGAGGTCTGTGGGGGAATATAAATTTGTATATAAAAATTGCTTTAAGGGCCATTTTTAATTTTTCCATTTTTGGAATTTGGCTTGAGAATTAGTTTGAAGCCAATATGAATTATATTCAAACTTATACTAATGGTGAGGTGACCATAACTATAAATATATGGCTATTTTTTAACTTAGTTTAGATGCACTTTTATATTTGATAGAAGTAGAACTGTAAAGAGCTAAAGAGGGAGAGTAGATACACTAAGAACACAGCAGTTCCCAAACTGAGCTGCGTATTGAAACCACAGAGGAATCTTTAAAAAATACTGTCAGGATCCCATTTGAAGACATTCTGATGTACTTGGCACGGGGCGTGACCTTGGCCTTATCTTACACTGAAAGCTCTCCAGGTATTTCAAATGTACAGCCCAACTACTGTGCTCAGGAATATAACATGAGAATGAAAGGGTAAACCAGAGAGCACAGGACCTTCCCTAATTACTGCTGGAGCTTAGGAACTGTCAATGTTCGACTGGAAAGGTGATGAGTGCCTTCAAATATGTTTGAAATGTTCCTGTCTTGGATTGGAGTCTGTTCTGAGTTTGGATTACAGTATTCCATTAAGGAGCTGATAAAATTTTCTGCACCTTTGTGTTTGTTTTCCTTGGAGTTCTAGAGGGTTTCATAAGTACCAAAGTTTTATTTTTTAAATGGAAATTCTAGTGCTACGTATGGTCTTAAACCATTAATGAGACCGGTGTAGAAACAGTATTCAGGTTTGGATTTTGAATATTCCTCTTTTGAACACACCTCATTTGTATCAGCATCACCTTTTTCCTCCCATTCCTGGTTTGTGGCCTCCCAACCACCCTACCATCAGCATTGGATAGTCCCAAGACTCAGGATCATTTTGGCCAGTAACACTTTTGCTGAGCTCTGAAGAGACCATGTCTAATCAGCAATGATGGGTGCAAAGTTTTCCTGGGAGAGTTTCAAGACCAGAGGGCTCAGCCATGTAAAAGCTGTCTGCACATACTGAAAGAAATAAAAGAAAGGAAGGGCAAAGACTCCTGGCACATTTTATATAAACTGGGAAGAAGAATTCAAAGCTGACCTCAACTTAATAGAACTCTCTGGAGCTGGGTGTGGTGGCACATGTGTAGAGTTCCAGCACTTGGGAAACAGAGATAGGAAGTTTGCAAGTTTGAAGCCAGCCAGGGCAACACAATGAGGCAAAGCAAAACAACTTCACATCTCTCTTTGAACAACTTTTGACTAATTTGCAAATGAAGAGAGTATCACAAGTGATATTAGGCAGATCAGATTTTCTTCATGGTGTTAGAGTTGAACACACCAAATCTGAGATGAAAGGAGATCAGTGTAGACAAGTCCGAATTTCCAGATGAGAAACTGTCATTTTTCACTTTAGAACTTGGTGCTGGCATAGTTTCTGTGAAGCGAGCATCCTGGGGTAGGGTAGGAGTTATAGGGCAGAACAGTGTGGGCTAAGAGGTTGAATAAACACAGGGCTTGGCTTTGTTTCAATCATATGTAAAACACATCATGTCCTTTCTAGGAAGTCCCCAGCAGCTGCATGGAACAGAGTAATACTGATCTATGACAGATTGACTTGACTGAATTTTGAGCTGAAGTGATGCTAAGTATATAAAATTTCAGACATTTTTCATGAGCTCACGCATGGGCCGTGCCACACATGGTGGACATGGTGAAAACATCTTGCAAGGTCTCCTGCTTTCCTTCCGTCTCTTTGTGACTTTGTGAGTCATAAAGGGGTTGTGGGCCAGGGACTGAGACTTGCTTCTGACTACTTAGTTATGCTTAGCTGCAGTTCTTGGTGCCAAGTGATCTCTTTCCATTCTGCCAGGGTTTGTAACACCCTTCCAAGACACAGGATCCTTGGAAGAACAACTATTATTGTCAATGGCTCTTCAACTTTCTGTTAAGTAAAAGGTTCCTTAACGTTTGATTTCCTTGAAGAATAACATTCACATTTCATGAGTACTACAATGAGTATATTATGCAGTCTCAAGGAAGGCGCTGCTTTGGGAAAGGCATGACTTATGGTCCTAAGGGGACTGGTTGGAGGTTTCTTTCTTTTTTAAAACTTCTCTTTCTCTTATTTTTGTTATAAGAAATAGGTCTTCAGAAGGCTCCGTATCCATCACCTCTGGCAGTTACTGCAAAAGTAGGGTAGACCTCATAGGTTGTGTATGCTGCCAAGTCTTGTCCAAGGGTCACTGCTTGCTTGAGCTGGGCTGCAGACATAGGGGCTGTGGCACTGGGGACAGCATATCCTGGAATAGGAGGCAGAGAAAACTTCATGAAAAAGATTCAGATTTATTCCCTTTGCTATATTGTCCCTTTTAGCAATATGGAAATGTAGCACATTGCTTAATACTAAAAGCAAATATGTACACTGAATGACGCTCCTGGAGGCACAGCACATGGACTTAGCGGGGCTGAAACAGCATTGGAAAATTGAGGACAGTGGTCCTCCAGTGGAGCCCGATGGAGCACAGGATCACTTTGCACTAGAGAATATAGACATTGGAGAGAGTACAAGAGACTGAAAGGTATCTGGGTGCTGAACTCCTGAAAGTTTGCAATAGAGAACTTTCCCAGAAGACCTAAGAATTTATAAAGGAGGGCAGGTGGTTAAGGAGTTGGCAGGACACGGTAGCAGAGGGGCTCTGTGTGTGTGGTTCTGTTGAATCCCACATCTGCCTAAAACCCCACACTTCAAAATCTAAAAGAACCATTGGTTTACCACAAGAAGAAGTAGCGCCTAGGTGTACTCGTAAGGGGAGTGCTGCAGTGTTCTAGAGTATTTTGACATATCACCATAAAAATAAATGATTTTTTAAAAATATCCTTTAAAAACATTTATCATCTATCTATCATCTATCTATCAATTTATCTAACATCTATCTATCTATCTATCTATCTATCATCATCAATCATTTATATCTATCATCTATCTGTTTGTGTATATGCATATAGGCACATACCTTCCATGGCCAGTGTGCAGTGGATTCTAGGGAGTTAGCTGTCTCTTATCACCTTGTCTGTTCTGGGGCTTGAACCCAGGTCATTAGGTCTATGTACAAGTGCCTTTACCTGATGATCCATCTCACCAGCCCTAAATATATCTTTGAGTATACCTTTCTGCAAAAGAAGGGGCTGGCTTACTTCCTCCAAGACTTGAGAAGAAGCCCTGGTGTAAATCCTAAGTACATGCACACCTGTGTGCTGAGGTGGTACCTGGCAATCCCAGGAAGTCCTCGCTCCCTGCCTGTCAGTGTTGCCACAGAGCATCTCCAGGTTCAAAAAGAGAAACAGAACTAGAATCACAGTCATGCTCATGCATGAAGAACGATTAGTTCTAGCTTTACTTGCCAAACAGAAACCAAAATCACTATTTTTGAGAATTAAGAAAAAGCAAGAAGACATGAAGACAAAAGAAATCTTCATACCCATGTAGCCAACAGTAGAATTCATTGGTCAATAGGACTGTCATGATTCTAGGTCTAGCAGAAACTAGTTTGGATGTACGGGGACTATGCTGACACAACGGCAAGCCAGAATGAAAAATTTCTTCAAAGGAAATTCAATCTTGATACTAAGAAGAACAGACATTATATAAGTGCTAAGGGAAAATGTCTAAAGGAATTTCTTGCTTTTAATCCCTAGAGGACTTATCTTTAAAGATTAGCATTCATTTTAGGTCCATGATAAATAAGACGTCTTTTAAATGTGCCCCCCACCGAAAACTTACTGATCTATAGGTAAGTTTTATATTAAAAAAACAGCAAATGCTCTAGACTAAACTTAGAGAACAGATAAACTGAGGTCTCAGGATTAACATAATGGAGCAGCTCCCTTTGTTGGTTCCTCTTGCACACACACAGGTTTTTACCTAATTAAAAAACAATGACCTACATAACTATTTCAGAAAGCAAACTAATAGAGCAAATGAAGATTCGAAGACCAGAGGCAACTCCAGGACTGTTTGAAAGCTAACTGGTAAGCTGGGCAAAATGACTGGCATCTATAATACAAATCTTCTGGAGGCTGAGGCAGGAGGCTTGCAAGTGTGATGTTAGCCAGGGGGTATATGGCAAGAGGCTGTTTTAAAACGGGCTGGAGAGATGGCTCAGCAGGTAAGAGCACTGCTGTATGGTTTCCCAGCACTCACATGGTGGTTAACAACTGCCTGTAACTCCAGTTCCAGGGGATCCAGCACACTCTTCTGGCCTCTGCAGACATTGTACACACACACACATACATGCATGCAGACAAAACACTCATATACATAAAAAATAATCAATAACAAAAATACAGCAGGGTTGGGGAGATGGCTCAGCAGGTAAAGTATATGTTTTTAAGCCTGAGACCCTGAGTTTAGATCCTTAGAACCTATTTAAAAGCCAGGCAGGGTGGTAACCCCAGTGCTAAGGAGGTAACTGGAGTTCCCTGGTTAATCAGTCTATTAGAACAATGGGTTTCAGAGTGTCAGTGCTCCAGTAGCCTTCCCCTCTTAAAGCCTTGAACCCTACCTCCTATTTCCCAGGTAACACTAGAAATGTAAACAGAAACTTTCCCATTGATATGTAAATTACCGTGTGAAAAGGTGAAAGTGTCTGGGCTTTGTTCTAAGCCTAGCCTAGGGTGGTGACTTGGCATTCAAATTCCTCAAAGTAGATGGAAGGAATAATTATTCGTTTAAAGAGAGTGTGCTTTTCCTTCCCAGAAGCTTCTGATTAGTGCAGTCTCTTCCCTCAGGCAGGCAGTGAAGCCTCTGCCTTTTGGCCTTCCCAGTCTTCTGAGTTAGGACTCAGAAATGTGTAATCTTTTCTTTATCACGGTTGTGGCTAAGGGTGCTTTCCCTGGCACTCTGGGCTTTGCCACTCTTTCTCTGAAGCCTCTCACCACCTCTCTTTTGCCATGTGAACCTCCAAAGGACATGGCTCTTCTCTATTTCCCTTCCTGATTGGTGAAGAGACTTGCATCTTGCCCGTCTACCTCTTTTCTTAAGTTCTAATAAAATTGTCCTTAAACTTCCTTTTGAATTCATTTCTAAGTTCTTTTTAAAAAATATTTTATTTATTATTTTCATTTTTATATGTATGTTTTGCCTCATGGATGCAAGTGCACCGCATGCATGTGATGCCCCACATAGGCCCGAAGAGGGTGTAGGATTCCCTGGAACTGGAGTTATGAATAGTTGTTATCTGCCATGTGGGTGCTGGGAATGGAACTTGGGTCCTCTGGAAACCACTGAGCCACCTCTCTATTCCCTATTTCTAATTTTTTTTTTTTTTTTTTATTAACCAGGCTAGGAACTTCAGAAAGGAACTTCAGCTTGTCCTTTAACACTAGGTTCAGTGAGAGACCCTCTTGCAAAAGTTAAGGTGGAAAATGACTGGGATTGACCTCTGGCCTTTACATACACACATGCACTCACATGTACACAAACATGCATACACATACACCATACAAACACATACACACACCCAAACACACACAAATAAATAATAGAAACAAAATACTGACAGACCCCAAAATAACAACTAAAACCTAAGTGATGCTGGCCAAGTTGTATAATCTTTTCAGTCCTGGGTTTCAAAATCTATACTATATTGGGATAATAATCTAACCTGACCTTCAAGTGCCTTGAACATTACTGCGTGACTATAAAGCATACTAAGCACTTGAGTGAATGCCCAGCTCATGACAAGAACTCAGCTAAATACCACCTACTAATAGATAGCATGGAAGTCTCTTACTAAAAGTGAAAAAGCAATCCACATCAAGGCAGACTTGGAGATAGGAACTCATTGAAGATCATGAAGCTGCTTAAAGCCAGAAAAGAGCCAGCTCATGTTGGGGTCGATTTCCCCATCTCATGCTTGTATAGTTTACTGAATAGGCAAATTCCTTTTGGTTCACAGATGATGCAAGGCCGTTGATACCGAGAAGTCCCCAAACACTCTGCAGTCTGCCCTTCCTGGCACGACCAATATTTTGCCATACCTGGGAAAACAGTAGCCGAGGTGGCAGCAGCAGCTGTAGTCACACTGTCGCCTGCCTCTGTGGGGACACCTAGTGTCTGCAGGGTGTGCTCTGCAGCATATGTCTTTGCTTCATCCATGTAGGCACTGAGCTTTGGAGGTGTGAAAGGGTGGCTGGAAAGCACAGTCAATCAGGTTAATTATTCAGAAACCTGTGAACCATGTCAGGTGAGGACCAAAGGCACTCTTAACTTTTTAAGACGATTGGGCGATGAGCTTTTGCATGGATATTTTTCTTTCTGTTTGCTGTTTAAAGTTTCTACATACACATGTATATGGGAGTCATTATGAATTGATCTAGCTCCTCAGTGGCTAGTGACATGCCTAGAGAAAATGTGTAATTCATTATAGGGCTTTTCTAAGTACATGTGATTCCTAAAATTTAGAAGGTGATGCCCACTATCAGAGAGACCACATATTTGGTATAAAATTTAAATGATGGGGCTGGTGTTGTGTGTTAAAATGTCAACTTCATATGAGTCAATCTAAATACTACACAGATTAAAGAATTGCCTATAGTCTTTTTCTGTGACCGCTAACATTATCTACAGAATTTTCACTGTCTACATGGAACTTTTAAGCTTTTAAATTCTAATCTCATAGCTCGTGCATATATTCCAATGGAACAGCTTAATATTTCATTTAATTAAAAAAGAGTAGGTAGTAGAGTTGAGTATCTTATTTGGGTGATAATCAAATACACTTGATGTACATACTAATCTTATTCTAAAATCTTAATGACTAGGAACTTGGAGAGGGTACCCACATTGCAGGATTCTGGCTGGCCAGCGCGGGGATAGTTACTTTGTATAAGAATAACTGTCTTTGGTCTTGTCCAATGGCAGAATGCAGCTGGTACACTGGCTGTCCCCAGTTATTTTTCTGACAAATTTCTTCTAATATCTACAAGAGTAAAGAAACATGATTTCTCCCTCAAATGTCACATTTGCTTTCCTTCTCTAGTTTTCAGGCTCTAAACTCTGATCTTCACTTTAAACTAACAGAAAGCATAAAATGCCACATGGTTTAATGATGCATAAAATTTAAGTTGAACTCCATTTGAACTCCATTTGAACTGTTATATGTATTATCTCATAAAATCATTTTCACACCATTTACTCTAATGTTTTTAGTTTAGTCCATTAGCTATACTTTTTTTTTAACCAAGAGCTTAATTTCATGATTAGCTTATTTATTTATTCCAGGTTTTAGAAAATCAGTGTTCTACTCCAGTGTGGATAGAAATGCCTGTTATCCCCCTCACCCTGAGAATGTGCTCTTACACCACATCATTTGTCATAGGGTATTTAATTTCAAATTTTTGAAAAAAACAGGAGGTCTTCACGTAGCAGTGATCATTAATAGACCTTCATGGCTGCAGTGCTCTGATTTACCTGGGAATATACTACTTGGGGCTATTTTATGATGTCTTTAAAAAATTATCCATTGGGGCTGGAGAGATGGCTCAGAGCACTGACTGCTCTTGAAGAGGACCCAGGTTCGATTCCCAGCACCCACATGGCGGCTATGAACCATTCTTAACTTCAGCTCCAGGGAAATCTGAAGCCCTCTTCTGACCTCTGCGGCATTGCACGACATG